CTTCCCCTCCCCCATGGGTTTCTGTTAAGTTTCTCAGGATCCACATAAGAGTGAACACATATGGTATCTGTCTTTCTCTGTATGGCTTATTTCACTTAGCATCACACTCTCCAGTTCCATCCACATTGCTACAAAGGGCCATATTTCATTTTTTCTCATTGCCACGTAGTACTCCATTGTGTATATAAACCACAATTTCTTTATCCATTCATCAGTTGATGGACATTTAGGCTTTTTCCACGCATAGGGGCACTTGTACCCCAATGTTTGAGATTATTTTTAAACAGAATTGTTTAGGAGGCATCTGAGCAGCACAGTTGGTTAAGCGTCTGACCCTTGATTTCAGCTCAGGTGACCTGAGCTGAAATCAAGGGTCAGACGCTTAACCGGTTGAGCCCTGTGTTGGGCTCTGCTCTGAGTGCAGACCCTGCTTGAGATTTTCTCCCTTTGCCCCCTCCACTTGTGCACTCTCTTGTGCTCTCTCTCAAAAAATAAAGATGAAAAATAAAATAAAATAAAAAAATAAAGTGTTCTTAAAAATTGCTTAAAAAAAGATTCAAATTTTCAGTAACTAAAACCATTTGCTTTCTCTGACCAATGTTAATATAGCCCATTTAATGTGTAAGTGCAATTAAATGCCTTTATTAAGTGTCTACCATATTTTGAGCATGCTTAATAAGCCATATAAATAAGTTATTGGTAAACTTGAATTTCCCCAACCAATGTTTCCTATTACTAAATATAAATACTAGAACTTCGGGAAATAAAACAAAACATTTAAATTGACAATATCACTTTAATGATATTATCGTAACAGAAATGGTTTCACAAGTTAATCCATCCATTTTCAAAAACTTTTGTCTGAGAATATACTAAAAACATGATTCTTAATTATCTAACGATAAAAGACCCATAAAGAATATTTTACATTTGCTTTAATTCCATATGCCAGATAGGTTATATAGCAATATTTTATTTGCACATATAAAAATAAACCACTCAAAAATATAGCATCACTTCACACCCATTAGGATGGCTATTATCCAGAAAATAGAAAATGGCAAGTATTAGTGAGGACATGGAGAAATTGGAAGCCTTGTACATTGCTGGTGGGATGTAAAATGGTACAGCTACTGTGGCAGAAGGCATGGTGTTCCTCAAAAAATTAAACACAGATTTACTAAATGATCCAGCAATTCTAACCTTGGGTGCATCCCCAAAAGAACTGAAATTAGGAATGCAAACATAGTCAGTCAAAGACAAATATCATATGACTTCACTCATATGAGGACTTTAAGACACAGGACAGTTGAACACAAGAGAAGGGAAGCAAAAATAATATAAAGACAGGGAGGGGGGCAAAACATAAGAGACTCTTAAACATGGAGAACAAACAGAGGGTTACTGGAGGGATTGTGGGAGGGGGGATGGGCTAAATGGGTAAGAGGCATTAAGGAATCTACTCCCGAAATCATTGTTGCACTATATGCCAACTAATTTGGATGTAAGTTAAAAAATTAAAATAAAATAAAATGAGCTGCAGAGTATTTCAAATAAATAAATACTGTTATCCAAGAAAAAAAAAAAAAGGAATGCAAACAGATACTTGTGCACCCATATCCCAAACAGCATTATGCACAATAGCCAAAAGACAGGAATAACCCAAAAGTGAATCAAGAGAATGGATAAATGAAATGCAGATGCATAACAATGCAATATTATTCAGCCTTAAAAAGGAATAAAATTCAAATACCATGTATACATGGTACTATGGATAAAACTTGAAAACATTAGGTTAAGTGAAACAAGCCAGACACAAAAGGACACACTGTGTAATAATTCTCCTTATCTGAGGTACCTAGAATAGTCAAATTCATAAAGAAAGAAAGTAGAATAGTGTTTGCCAGGGGCTAGAGGGACGGGGGAATAGGGAGTCATTGTTCAATGAATACGCAGTTTCAGTTTGTGAGGATGAAAAGGATCTGCACGTGGATGGTGGTGACGGTTGCACAACAGTGGGAATGTACTTAATGCCACTGAACTGTGCACTTAAAATGGTTAAAATGGTAAATTTTATGTTATGTATATTTTATCA